AACAACTTCTATGTAACGAAAGGAGACTGCGACCATAAACAAGGCCACACCAACTTGGTGTTCATACCTTGGCAAATAAATTAAGATTGAAGAGGCTCCATTAGGACTGATGAAATGCTTACAACTTTTCAGTAAGGTATTGAGTTTACTGGCTACCCACATTTTCTTATGAGTAAAAATGTCCACAGTAAAGGTGTTATTCAAGGGATAACTCCTTTGCTTGCTTAATTCATCTTAGTCATGACCGTGTAGTATCGGAGTTAGCGTGACTACCTTTTGACGCAGAACGCGTCTGGTCTAAATTTCACCGAATATGATGATTAAAACTGGTATTAATCTTTGGTAAGAGCCGCGATGAAGGATGCATTGCGTAGTAATTTTCTTTGCACACTTAGTCCCATTTTTCAACTAATTTTGATTTCGATAACAATGTTTCACATCCCTCTTCTGCCGATCCAACCTGTAGCGCTGGTATCGGCCAGCTTTCATCGTATCCCAGTCGCTATTCCTTGTCCCGACGCGCCTTAACACCACTGGCTAATTGGTTCATCTGGTGCCAGGCCTGTCGACACGGCGGACATGCTGGCCATCTCGCCGAGTGGTTCTACGGCGGCTTGCATCACCTCACTCAGACAGCTGCATCTTCGATATCTACTGCCTCTGCCACTGCCCCAATTACTGCAGCAACGAGCACCAGTTGCATAGGTACTCTTGGCATAACTGCTAATCAATCATCTGCACCTCTTAGTGCAGCTTTGTCTGTTTCTGCGCCCTCAAGATCTGTAGCACAACATCCTAGCGACTCTAGCCTCTCGCTGCAGGCCCCACCCTCCTGGCTTGTAGAGTGTCCTGTAAATGGTTGCCATTGTCGCTGCGCCAGCCTTGACCTTACCGGTGGTTTGGGTGGTCTCCGAGCCCTGTTCCAGCCCACTACTGGCCTCCCAACTTACCATCAATCGCAGGACAATCTGGCTATTCCCTCAGCAATCACTGATATCACAGACTGTTTTCCGACCGCCCATCAATCTACTATGGCTACTCATCCTTTGAACCGGTTATGGCTCAGAGATGGCTATGATGTTCACCGAGTGCCTGAGACCGGTGAGGTTGTAAATAACGAAGATGGACGAGGCGAGGAAGGTGTTGCGGTAGAAGAGGACGACTACCCGGATACCTGGGATCTAGGGCGGACGGGCTTTTCTTCCGGCATTCGGCGAATCGTACCATTTGCATCAAGACTGCACATGTCATCTTTTCAACCACAACAATTGACTCAATCTGCTGGACGTACCTTTGCAGAGGAGACCAAGCTAATGACCAAATGGGACATATTACATCGAAGAGGAGAGTCCGCGGACCCGGCTGACCGGTTTACCGGGGAGACCGGTCCTTATGCTGCTCGACCTTTCTTCCTAGCAAACCTGGCTGCTTCCGCTCAGCGGCTTCTCTTAAATACTCCCGGCCATGGACAGCACCAACAACGATTCTCCTGAAATGATCTTCACACTCTAATCCCAGATTTCCGATACTTTTTTTGAATTTCTTGGCACCAAGGGCGCCTCTTACTCCATGCGCTACCACATTTACTTTATTCATATGGTCATACGATCCCACGTGTAGCGAGCTGTTTATCAATCCTTTTATATGATTCTATTTTTCACCCGTTTTGTGCATTTATTTACTTCTTTTTTTTCATTTCTGACTTAGGGCAAATTAGCTAGAAATGCATTTTCTATCATGTGTGACTATATTGCGCCCCATGCATCAAGTTATATTTTGGGTCTAATGAAATTACAAAACATTTGGTATTTATTTTCTTCGAGATCTTTGTGTTAGGCTCAGAATGATATCGCATAAGAATTTCCTTGATTACTTTCTAACCATAGTCTACTTTCAGCTTCGTCCTCACCCCTGGGCTCACTTAAATACAATTACTTCTATTTTATTTTTTCTCTCGCATTCCCTTATTGACTTAGCTCAACAAATTAGTTCATTTCTTGTGTATCATGACCCTGCATTACATGGTTGCAAATGCATTGGTAGATATCAATGCATTCCGGTCTATTCCTAGCCAATATAAATCTGATAACTGTCCATCTGCATTCATTGCTTCTTCATTCTTAGGTATACTAATTGATGTAGATTTTATGACAGCCTTTTTTCGAAGTATTGACCTCATTTTACTCTTATCGACTGGGATAATGAAAAGCATCCATTTTACTGCGTCCTATAATATTTTTGAAGTATTTTTCCTTCTTCAGATCGCCTGTGAGATACATTCTTACATATTTTTCTGAAATTTTAGTCTGCATCATCAGCAATTTGATGTCCTGAAATAATTCGTTAACGTATTAAACGAAGCCTATTTAGATTTTTTTTATCTGTTTGGATGTGAGTAGGTCTCCTTCATACTTTCATCTCTCCAACTTCCCCTCTCTATATCTGTCTTATCTTGTTCAGCGTTTTCGTACCGCCTTATAGTGTTACCTCCATTTATGTATGACAGTTTGCCTTTATCAGCGTTAATTTGTAAAAAAAATGCCGCTTTCTATTTCGTGGTCAGAAAATTTGTAATTTCTCGACTTTGCGCTCACTCAACCAGTAGATGAATACATTTTTCACCTTCCAGGTCACTTCCTCTCCTTTTTGTGTACCGCAAACCATCAATTTCGGCCTCGGTACCGACCGGACTTAGATTTATTTCCCTTTTGCAGTGATAACATGACATTAAGCAAACCTACACAATTAGTCTGGTAGTCGTAGCATCCCCGAGGACGCTGTCTTTTGTTCTTACTATGATCAGCCGCATCTTTTTAGCTAATAAGCAATCTCATTCCTATTATTTTCATAGTTTATAACGGGAAATTTTCTATTTGATCAGGAATTGAAGCTCATGTTTAAACTAGTAAATCCACAAAATCTTATTTGTATTCTCGTTAGTCGGTGTATAAATTGTCTAGACACGCCAATTATGCCACCATTTAGATATAGTCGGATCAATTCACCACCATACACGAAGTAGTCATGGTACAGAGTTATTATATCTCTTCTTATTGCTTTCCACATGGTTGAGGCCTCATTTAAGGCTGTAATAACGTCTGAAATGCACTTGATCAACGATTCGATGTCGCAATAACACGATTAAAATTATCTGAAGACACGCTTAGAGCTCAGCTCTCAGTTATTATTAACTAGTTGTGAAAAGAGGCATCCTTTAATTAATGCCCCCATTGATTTACCCTATTTAGCAAGTTACTTAATCACATTCTTTATTCTATTTTTACTTGATCCTACATTTCATGCATGATTGATATTAAATAATATTTTATTCTTTAATTAAGGTCTTATCACTCTTACACAAGTAGTCCTGAATGGTTCCCATGGGATTAAGGCGAATGGCTCATTTTATCCTTTATAAAAATTACCCGATCAGCCACTCTTAATTTTGCAGAATATCTTTCTATCTCCTATTTAGTAGGGCTTTTTATTTTAATAAATTATTGATATTTATGCAGATTATTTATCAATTTGCTCGGAGTTATCTTTAAAATTAAACTTTCTCCCTAATGTATTCACCCTATTTCCTTTAAGGTGATGAATGGCTGGTAGTAGAATTTTCCCACAATGATATGAATAGAGCTTACGTTTATTACTGAAGTTTCAAAAATATATTATAGCCTTTGGAGTAAAAAATTATTATAAAATGGTAATCAGCATTTGCTTCAGTCTATAAAGACGCCCTTTTTTGCTCAAAGGCCTCATTGTTGGCTGAATAACGCTCAGGACCACATGCTCTACACACAGGGCCAAGCCTTGATTCTCAAAATCACCTCTCTCAACACATTAAATTCCTCTATTGCTCAGCATCAGATGTTGATTTTTTTTAATAACGCGCTATGCTGATAAGTCTGCTAGTCCATATCAGTTGAGACTAAAGATCTGAGTCCCGAATGTCAAAAGTAATCGCAAGTAGCTTTTATTTAACTTCTTGCTGGTTTATTTCAATGACTTAGAGACATACGGACTTTTAGTCAGGGATTCCAAGGAGTATCTTAAGGCCAAGGATAAATTGAAAAGTGGAAATTAATTCACTTCAAAAGGATGCCAGGTCATCCACTCCCTACGGACAGCAATTTAGCGTCTGTTCTCGGTCATTAAGGTTTGATAACCTTATATATATATATATATATATATCAAACGTTGATGGCCGAGAACAGACGTTAGTTTGCTGTACTATTTACTTTTAGCCATCCCTGCTGGTTTCGTAAGTATGCGAACACATACAGAGACCTATACGCTTAGATGCTCCGGAGTTGACACGACTTGAACTAACCAAATCACTTTACCTTACCAAAGAGGTCAGATATAGAGTATATATACAGCTTTTTAGTGATGAGCTGGTGAGTTTTCTTGACTCGTTAACTTAAATTTGTTTCCAAGCATTATATCCTACTCTGATGATATTTTTCATACGACTGACGAAAGCTTAGCATGTTTTCACCGGATTCTAAAGAGATTACCTGGGAAACAGCGTTAACAAGAATTTTCCGACAAAGCTAATCAACAGCTGGTCAAGAGGAATCCTTCGTCACCTGGTGCGATCGACCTTTGAATCTCTTCAAGAAACACTTCCTCTTCGAATGTAAGTAAGATCAACAATTATGAAATAAGATATTCCCCGAAACCCAACTTTTCTTTACTTCCTTAGAACACTTTTGAGTGCATAAATCTACTCCTATCTTTTAGACGTATGGACATTCAAACCTTCAAATATTTCCTGATACTCCCACTGAACTTTACCAGTGGCGGGAAATGGGTACATAGTCAGCTGGTGGCATTTATATTATCAGCTACTTTCTTTACCAAAAATAGGAATGAAATGAGCGTAAATTAACTTGATATTGATCACTCTATCTCCGCTATAGGTAAGGAAAGTCTAAGAATGAGTGTTTACGTGTGGTCATGCGATGGCCTAAATCCACATCACTTGCAGATTTTGGTCTTTTAATATGTTTGAAAGTCTTTTGTGAGGCTTTAACGGACAGCTTTGTTCATTTAGTGCATACTTCATAAAGCGATATTCAAATTATTTCATGAGTTGGAGTACCAATACGCGATCATCCAGAAAACTCGTCAATGCTACAAAGCATCGTCAGCACAGTCATTCGAATCGGTGGACTTATTTAGTATGTAAGTCAGCAGACCAAAAGCTAGGATTATTCCTGAGCTGTGCCTTAATCTTGTTTTTCATTCTCCCGGTCACCTACCCACGAAAATTGTCTGTCCATTGCCGCTTTCGAAAAAACCTTTCCCATTATGCTTCAATTATAGGGAGTTTACCAAAGGTCCTTCTTACTAAACACCGATGGTACTAAGATGTAAATAAATATGCCTATTTTTATTTATAAGTAGGTTTTCTAGACTGCCCGTATATCATGCATATGAGATGTATTCCCCCTATTTCGTTTAAGGTTCGACTACCACCTTAGACGAACTAGGCTGGATACATCTCACATACATTATCTACTGGTAGTCTCGAACGCCTACTTATAAGCGAAAGAAGGCAATATAGTCGATTGCAAGAGTAAGTACAACCTTGCTTGATCGGCAAACCCCTCCAATGTGAAATGGGAAAATGCTTGGGCTCCCTTGACATTCAAATCTACCCCGTCACTCAAGGGCACTCGTGGCAATGTAACGCAGTAGTTTGTGTGTCGATATTATACTCTGCACTATCACCATTCGTATCCCTTTGTAGGTGCTGACGAGACCTGGGCGAGGTCGAAACTGTATTCTAGGCCAGCTGGGAACGGATTACCTGGTTACATGAAAATCAATGGAAACTTAATGTCTACTTATAACATTATGGGAAAATTCAACTACGAGTCCCCTTATCACCTTAGATGAAATAGGGTGAATACATTTCACAAATATGCCTATGTTTTAGCGTGCGATAGGAAGTCCTTCTTGTGGGGGGCTTTACAAATTATAAAATTTTTGTTCATATCCCTCAATTCAGTCGACTTAAACTGTACCGATATTAATGGCTAATGCATACTTGTTTCATTGATAATCCTACTTTAAGTTTGATTCAGAATAGTCCTGCTTTGTGATGAATATTACATCTGTACTGTGACCCACTGACACTCATGGCTATGTAACAGGTTGATAATGTCGCCACGATGTTGATGAATCTCGATGTTGGTGGTTATGGGCAATGATATTTTGCTAATGTCGAAACTGCAGTTCACAGTGTTAGTTCCAGTGCAATTAAAATAATGCCCTGAAGGGAAATCGAATATGCGAGGCAGAAGTGGTTGTAATTTCAGTTAGTTTTTATCAAATGCACGTTGCGATCTCTTCAGGCGAAGTAGCATGTCAGGTATTGGGATCTTACACGGCTAATCAGCTGCCATATGGCGCTGAGGTGGAGAACAAGTGTAAAGCGTGGTGATATAGCCCAGTGGTGAAGCGTGGAGATGTGAGGATGTCA